AGTGCACTGAAAAATTGTGCCCCCTGTCTATATGTCAGAGGAGGCAATTAACAACAGCATTAAAATGGCATACACATTCCTAACAACACACGTCTCTATTACCTCCCATAACTCATTCACTTTGTTCCCCAGTGACGTCGCAGTCTTCACCTCAAATTTATGCACCGAAAGGGACTGCAGTTGTAGGTGGAAGCAGTCAGATTCCGAAGGCAATTCATCTTAGGCTGGTCCCTCACTTGTACAGACCACATTCACATTATTCGGAGGATCAGGTTCACTTTCAGTGCCTGGTGAAAAGCCTCTTTATTTTGCTTTCCAAGGGGGAAGGCTGTAAGGAGGGAATCTCTTCTGACACACAGAACCTCAGGATAAGGAACGTTTTGTGAAGCTGAAGATAACTGGGCACACATCCTTCACAGCACTGAACTGCTTTTATCCTTGACATTTCCTCCAGTTCTCTTTCTTTATTTTACTTCGTTTCCTCTGCAAGGCCTGACCAGCTCTATCTCTCTTCAAGATCACCTTTCCCTCCTTATCCTAGCAGGCAAAGGCGTTTGCACCTCTGGGCACAATGGTCTTCGAGTGCAGATCTAAGCAAACTGCTCAGCGATTGTGACTAAAAAGGGCTCTATTCTGCTCTCACCTGTAGCAAAGTCAGCCTGGAATAAATTTATGCTACCCAAAGCAGCAGAAGAAAGAGCCACAGGAGATTTTAAACAACTCTCTTCTTCACAGGGATAGGCTTGCTCATGCTATTCTTAGTCCAACATGGATGGTTAAGGTAGAATACTAAAAGTGAAGAAGTGATTACTGAAAATATTCCTCTCATAATTAGCTTATATGCTAATTCTGTTCAATATCCATTGTAGTGGTACAGTAATATTTCTATCTGTGAAATAATGGATTTCTCTTGTTTTCACAAATTCTAACACTCCGCTTTTCTCTATACTCTTAATAAAAATCTCCTTTGACACATGCTTGCTTGATCCTCTTTCTAATTCATCTGTGCTACCAACCAATTCAGGATACACACTGACTGTATAGTAGCATTGCTTGGGATTTGTTCTGCATTGTATCACACATTTATTATAACTGCTCATGCCTTTGAACTTCTGCGGTAGGGTCCTGTGACATGTCCAACACACACCACTCAGAGCTCCTGCATATGTTTCATGTTTATGTCACTATATTCATACAAGCTCTGTTACAACTGGCCTAAGTAAAGGTTACTGGATCACTCCACTTCTAATCCTTGGTTTTCAGATGCTTTCTGGCTTCTGCAGAATGCTCAGGACTGGATTTTTTTGAAACCTGCTATTTGCAGATGCCTGTGCATTTGATTTTGTGCACGTGAAGATTACAGAGAAAGACCTTTTCTCCTGTATTAGAAAATTAGAACATTCATTCCTTTATATTGTAAAAATAGCAATGTCATCAGAACAGAGGAAAGACAAAAGCTGTCAATAATGTAAACGTCATATAAATAGGTTATTTGTTTTAAATTTTCAAGGCAGCTGAGAAAGAGCAACTGAATTTGCATGTGCACTCAGCTCTTCCAAACGGAAGCTCTACCTGCAGATTGCATCCGGGCTCCAAGTTAAAACATAGAATGAATGATTTTCAGATATAAGGAAGAAATTTTTGTGATTAGTGTGGTGAAAACTGTCACAGGCTGCCCAGAGAGGTGGCAGATGCCCCATCCCTGGAAACATTCAAGGTCAGGTTGGATGCAGCTATGAGCAACCTGATTGAGTTGAAGATGTCCCTGCTAGATCAGATGATCTTTAAGGGTCCCTTCCCACACAAACTATTCTATGAAATATAGGCTGATGTGCCATTAATTGTCTGTTAAAGTGTACACTTTATAAGGAAAACTTGAGGTAAACCTAGCTGGCACATCCAATGAAAGCTCAATATACTCTATGTACTGAAAACTATGTGCAGAAAGCATATGGCGCTTTTGAGGCAAACGACACTAAGCTAGGCACCCAGACTAGACTACTCCTGAGGCAAGGGCTGGCTTCACCAGTTTCAGTGGAACACAACAAAGGATGAACCTGTCTCACTGTTTCACTCCATGTGTCTTTTTTTAAGCAAGAGGAACTTCACAGGAAAGTGTATTTGGTCACATTCCAGTTCTCAAGCACGACACCAGATGTTTGTCCTCCAGAATCATCACAATACAAGTGGTACGTAGCAACAGGAGGAAGGAGGAGGAAGAAGAGTGGGAAGAAGCATCCGAGCTACCTTGGGTATCATAATTAAGAGCTTCTCTGTCATCCTGGAGCAAAAGTCCCAAAATGCCCACCTTGACTTTGTCATTGCCTGATTCGGGGCAGTAGTATTAAGTCATTACCCAAACAATATCCACATTTCAGATGAAAATAGTTATGACCAGTACTGCCATGACAGTGGTGATTACAGATACAGTTTGCAGTAATAATTACAAAATATATCACAGATATACAGAAAGAAGTTCTTAGTTTTAACAGCTCTTGTCCCTGTCTTAAATTAGGGCCAGTGGTTTTGAACATGTGGTGGTGTTTGACTATGAGGAAGCTGTTTTCATTTGTTTCCCAGGCAACAAACACTCATTCATACCCCAGTAAATAACTGTAACTTAGAAGTATCATTTGATAAAAATATATCTGACCCTAAAGCAGTCAAGTCTCTTTGTAAATCACATGAATTATTACTAAAGAGTATCACAAAGTTTCTGAGCTCAGTGTAGTTTGCTGGAAATAAAACTGCCAGCATATTAAACATAAACTTCAATTTGTTTTACTGATTTAAAACATAACACATTATGAATACCAGCAATGGAAAATATAATTTATTCCTTACAGATTTTTAGTGATGTAATTATTTAGATATTCCTCCATTCTCCAGAGAGGGTAGATACAGAGACAGCTGCAATCAACAGATCATTTGGATGTTATTGAGAAAAATGTGTAACTACACCAAGTCCTACAATTACTACCACCATCAAGTTTAAAGAGAAACTAGGAGAAAACAAGTCTGCACCCAGAAAAGGAAAGCACAGAGTCAAAATTTAGTTTGGCTCTCTGATTCCCGTAACACTGGCAATGGCACTTGATGTGATGTTTTGTTTGAAGTTTCTCTTTTCTCTTGCTATTAACACAGTCATCTAAGAGTTTACCTTTGTATGCTTTATTACTGATTTCTGCAACTCTGCAGGGAAAAGAAATAAGATGGCCTTGATTGCTCTTAGAGAAACTGAATAGTGATGGCTAGAAACCAGCATGAAGCATCTCCCTCTCTCTAGAGTGCAGGGCACCAACATGTGCTCCCAGCAGGAGTAACATCTTCCCTCCAAATGCCACTTCCCTGCTCTTCAAAGAGGTGGAACGGAAGGAGATACAAGTCACATTCTATCTTACTGCTGTCCTTGGATCTTTGCATCCCGCCTCCCCCCAAAACCAGTGCAGCCTCAGCCCTAGCAAAAACAGAACTTAAGGCTTTTGGTGGTAACAGGCAGGAGTTATAATACTGGATCCCCATTGTTTTTGTTTGTTCCTGCCATTACACTTATGCTGATAATGACAAGCTGATGACAAAACTTTTGGCACAAGTACCCCATAAATAAAGAACGTTGTAAATACATTATTTTTAATGTTACATGGCCCTGTAGAGACACCGTGCTGCAGCGCCAGGAGTAACTTGCATAGTGTGTGTGGGCTTGCAAAAATAACCCCCCAAAAAGCTTCTCCTCCCTTCAGGCAGCTATTCTGGCAAGTGAATAAATAATCACATCATTTGGTTTCCTGGGCTCTGGAAACTAAGTGTAACTATCATGACGTTTACTGGCCTCCTGGCATCTGGAATCAAACTCTGCAATCCAAGCACAGGCACATGGGTGCCCAAAGCAATTTTCTTATCCGCATGGGTTTTTTCCTTCCACCCTTTGAGTTTATTTTTACCTCTGAAGAAAAACTAGATGCAACTCTCACAAACTCCCAACTACTTCCTAAACTTTCCATTATGTCCTTTGATGTTTTCGTTGTAAGTATTCCCCAGAGTGTAAAGGCTCTCTGCCTTTTGCTGTAACGCTATCAATTTTCATAACCAGGAGGCTGTCTTGCAACCCCCCATATACATCTTTACTAGGTTACAGTCTACCAATTTGGCATCTGCTTCCTTATTTGATTTTAAAAGTGTGTAATACCTCTCTCTCAGTCACAACTTTGCAGGATCGGGCCAACCAGTAGAAGCGGCATGTTTCATGCATTTAAAACTAAAAAAAAAAAAAAGAAGCGGGGGGCAAAGAAAAAGGAAAGGAAACAAAGTTTCAGTTTTAACAGATGCAAAGCAAAGACCAAATATTTTCCAGTCGGTGGCTGTTGAGAAGAAATATGCCAAATACATTTCACAAGCCAGTTAAGCCTCTACTGGCACCTAATCACTGCCAGATGTTTAGAAGCAACACCAAGAACATCGCAAAGCGTTGCAAAATATAAACAAATAAATTGGGGAGAAAGAAAAGTCTTCTTCTGGGAGGGGGAAGAGAGAGAGAGAAGCGGGGTGCCGAGGGAAAACGCACTGGGGAGAGCACACATGACGGGGGACACACCGGGACACCCCAGCTCCCGGGACCGGACTGACCAGCACAAGCCAAACCGAAGGCGAGACCCGCTCTCTGTCTCTCCCGGTACCGGCTGCCTGCGCCCTGCCGATGTTCTGCCCGCAAAATGCCCGCACCGTGCCCTGCCCGTACCCTACCCACATACTGCCCTGCCTGCACCCTGCCCGAATCTTGCAGCAGCCTGTCCACATGGTGCGCTACCTTCACCCTGCCCGCACCCTGCAGTCCCTACCTGCGCCCTGCCTACACCCTACAGACGCTGCCTGCGCCCTGTCCGCCGCCTGCTCCATGCCTGCACACCCTTCCAGCATCCTGCCCGCACGCAGCCCTGCCCCTGCTCGGTGCCGGCTGCGCACGTGTGCGGGCAGCGGAGCGGGCGCCCGGCTCCCGTCCCTACCTTTCATCTTGGCGCCGGGGCGGGTCACATAGGACGGACGGGGAGCGGCGGGGGCTGCCGCCGGGAGCGGCGGGCTGGCGGGCGGGCAGCGCTCCCTGCCTATTGCCGGGCCATGCCGGGGGCCGGGCGCGCCCCGCCGCGGGCCCTGCTGCGCAGCCCCGGCCGCTGCCGCTGCCGCTCGCCGTCGCTCCTCGGCCGCCGGCGGCACCGCGCTCTCGCCGCCAGCCCCGAGCGGCCCGGCCCGGCCCCGCCTCCCTCCCTCCGCCCCGGGGAAGGGGCCGCGGCCGGGGCCGGCCGGGGGGGCGGGCCCGGGGCTTAGGCGGCGGCTGGGGATGGGGGTGTCGCAGCCCGCTCCTCAGCGCGCCGCGGAACCGTGGAGTACCCGTGGTGGGGGGGGGCCGTGGGCAGCAGGGCTTGTCCGTGGGGGGCAGCCCAGGACTGGACTTACAGGGCACCCACCGGGGGCCGGAGAGCTCGAGGGGGACGTGGTGATGCCAGGTCCCTCCCTGCCCTCCTCACGCGCGTGGCAGGCACCTGCGGGTGTTTGACTCAAACCACCGCGCTGAGCGTCGCCCTGTGCAGGCATGCCACGGCTCCCTGCACCAGAGGTCCCGGAGCTGTGGGTGCCCGTTTGCCAGTTGGGAAGAGCCTGCAGGATGTGCAGTTCACCCTAGCATTGAACGAAGGGCCACAAGAAGTCCTGTTGGATTCAATGGGCTTGTGTGCAGTGCACGCACTGAAGAATGCATGTAAATATTTGTGGGATTAGGGATATACAGGCCAGTCGTCTTTTATTTCTCTGGTTCTGGATACTGACAGGGATAATGGATCATTTCCAAGCTCCCATTTTCCTGAAAGGCATGCTTTGATTTTCTGCAATCTACCCATTTTTAGGGCATTAAAGTGATAAGTATTTATGACCCAGCTTAATCTATTAACATCGGTGCTGATGAAGCAGAGCTCATGCAACATGAGCTGGTTTGTTCGGGGGATGAACAAAGTAGCGGACCCACCAGAAAGCCTTTCCTCTTGGAGGCAAGAGGTGTGAATGTGGAGATGCCCAAAGAAATTATTCTACATGGTCTTTTCAGTGAGCTTATGGGTCTAATAAGGACCATAGTATACCAGAAAGGTCATGGTACAGTTTACAGCATTAGTTTACAGCATTAGTTTAACACCAGGTCAAAAAGCATTGGAAACCAAGTATGGTCTCACCTGAGTGAGGAATGGAGGATTAAATCCACAAAAAGTAACCATTGTAGAGCAAAAATTAAAGAACAGGTTTAGAAATCTAAATTCCTTCTGTTGGTCTAATGACTTGAGTTGACATCTACTTGAGCACATTTCACTAACTTGGAGGCAGTACCTTCAGGTTGGGATTGCGAAAATCCTTGAATACCAGCTGCAGTAGCCATTTGCTGCTTTAAAGCAGGGCTCAGATATCAAAGAGACGTGACTCAGCTTTTAGTTTAGCCTCTGGAAGTTGACTGGAACATCTATTTTTGGTACAAGTTGTGAGTAAAACACTTAAATATGAATACAGTCACCAAGTAGTTACAGGTGTCCTGTAGTGTTGTGTTGGATTAGGACAACAGTTCTTGCAGTGTTTCTCAGACCAATTAATGTTCACTCAGTTGTGATTTACTTTGGATCCTAAGTGAACTTACAGTTTTCATACTGAATAATCAGCATCATTCAGTTACCCAAACTAAAAACTATAGACTCCCATCCAAAGCCCATCAGAATGTTTCCAAGAAGGAATCTTTCATTAATTCTCATAGGCTGGATGAAACCAATAGTAAGGCTTCATTTCTTCAGAAGAAAAGTACTTATATTTGAAAACACAGTGCAGAAGGACTGCTTTTAAAAAAAAAATAATTTTGTGACTTTAAAATTTTTAATTTGCAGACATAATGGGACACTTTATATGTCTAAAATAAGTTTCTACATTATCTTTTAATTGTGTAAGTTGTTTTCCACACTGAATTTTTTATAAATAGGTTATATATTTAGATGGCTGATGAGCTGCTACTGTTCCCATGCCCCATGAGCTCTGCCTGCAGTTACACACACAGGGACACTGGGAATCACCCAGAGACACAACCAGTGGCCTTAAAAAGAAATTGCTTTCAGTTTTTCCAAATTTCATCCCTAGCTACCATGCAGATATGCCAGCACACTTTGTTTCAGGTAAGGAGAGAAGCCTCTCTCCAGCACCTCTCCCCTGCCTGGGTTTCAGATAGATGCTGACCCTGAACAACCAAATTGGGGGCCACTTTCAGACTCACCCTCTTTTTTCTGCTTAGGTGTGAGCTCCCCATGAAGTTTGACCTCCCAGAACTTAAATTTCATTTCTTACTACATGGGGCTCAAGAGATATTCCTACTAGCTAGGAAAACCACTGAATACCTACATATTTAGGGTGCAATACAGTGTGTAGTACAGGGTACAATATGTAACCAGCATTTCCTACTTCTGGGCCTTCACCAGCTTGAACCTTTTATATGCTCTTTTATATTTTTCAAGTTTCATTTAAAGCTATGGTGAAATATGCCAAACACAATTACACTGCCTCCCTGGTTTAAACCACTGATCTCTGAAAAAGCTTCAAGCATATTTTCATATTCTTTTTATTTTAAGGAAACTTTAGTCTGTGTTCTAGGGAAATCTAATTTTACAGAAACACTTTATTTTAGGGACTTTTTCATTACTCTAGTCGAGGACATAAATTATGAGGCCTATTCTTTCATCCAATAATAATAATATAACAACAGCTGACGACCACAACGGGCTGCCTGTCACAAAGTGATCCCACATTGCAGCCAGATTCCGAGTCAGAGAGGGTCTGGAGGATCTAAACAAATCATCCTTGATTGGAAATGTTTACATAATAGCTTAATATGGCTTGTTTATATGGAACTATGACAATTTATTCATCAAATGCTGAAATAAGGTACCCAAGCGAGAGCTTTGCAGTTGCTATGGCATAGGGTGACTTTAAGAACTTACCAGCCGCGTGTGTATTGTTCATTTTTTCCTTGCTACAGTTTTCTCTTGATTATCAAGGAAGTTCATTTAAAATGGGTCACACTCACTTTTACTCTGCAAAATGTGTTCAAATTTGGCAGTAATCCAAAAGAAAAAGATACAAATTAAATCTCCTTGTATGCACTTCATAATATATTGCATAGACTTTGCTGAAGTGATCTAAAACCAGAGGTAATGTGCCCATTTCCTATTCACGTTGATTGAACTTCACAATGGACCATTACCTTCCCCTGTCTCTTTCCCAGAGCCTAACCTACAAACTCTGTTCTCTGACCACAAGCTCTTTGGCTATTTGGCCAGTCTTGTTGATGCTGGAAGCCTTATCCACGCACATGGGGTATGTGTGGCATTCTTCTTTGATTGGCAGCCTTCTCCTTGCCTGGGGCCATACGCAATACAAAGGGCAATAATTAAATAAAAAAATCCCCAAAATTGCATGCGTCATTCAGAAGAACTGCATGTGACATGGGAACCATATGTGGAAGATCATTTGTCTCAACCATTTGGGTTCAGTACAGAATGTCCATTTGAAAAGTTAGAGTTAAGTGCTATAACATATTTTAATGATAAATCTTTTTCTCCACAACAATTTCATATTGTTAATGACCATTTTGGATCTGTGCCCAGAGTGAAGACGTTATCCTTGGATCTGGGTAATGAGTTTGTAAATGATCCTGAGCAAATGGTGAAGTTATTTACTAATAATATTGTTAAATCTGCAGATGAGTTTTTACTTATTCTGGGTAATTAGCATCATAATTTGAAAGTATTTGGTTATCTAGATTTGCCTCTGGCAAGCAAGGTGAGGTTTTGGTTTTCTTTTCCTAGGTTTTGATTAACTGGGAAACTGAAGGAAGGAAATTCTGAAAGCAGCGAAACACCTGGCTGTCTTTTTGGTATGCCAGAATTACTCAAAAACACAGACTTGTTCTAGATACAGTTTGGATATAGATCATGCACCAGTTCTCTTGTCTTTAAATTGCTGTGGCATTTTTCTTTTAGAAACTGGATTTCTTAGAAGGAAGGCACAAGATAGCTCTAGAAAAGGCTGGATAGTCACACTGTTCGAAATTTAAAGAAAAGCAAAATGCTGGAATGTAATTAAAAGTACAACTATTACAAATAACTGCAGATGATATCTAGGATCCATTGCTTCATATTTTTGATATTTGATGAAACACATAATTATGGATTTTGTTCATATTTTGAACTAAGAGCGATTATTTCCAGTTCAGAAAATTTGGGAAATTTTATTCTGGCAATTTATAGACCAATTTCCTTGCACAGTATTTTGTCAAATAGCCTAAAAAATTGTAGCTGTTGTGTCTGTTGTATATTTAAAACAATAAAATATTTTACTTTTGTGCTCCAAAATTTTACATAATGAAAAGTAATTCCATTGCTGCTGGAGTGCTTCAATGCTGAAGACAGCCAAACCATGATCAAATAAGTGCCAATTTTTATTAAGATGTTTGCAGGAGTAGATTTTTATGCATTAGTAATAACATTTGCATAATAACAAATAACATTTGTGTGTTTCTTTCAACAAGCACAGTAAAATAATACTGATTTCCTCAGAAATAGTTTCCTATTCCTATTGCCTGAGGTCTAACCAGATCAGCTCTTCAGCTGGAGTACGTCAAAATGGTATGGGCCAGGGCTGGGTTCACATTGATGAAAGGAGGTAAAGATCTTGCCATGTTTTGAGTCTGTCCAAATTCCAGTGACATTTCACCTACCAGTTATCATCAGTGGGAGCCAGCAAGCATAAACAGAGAATTGGGCTGTGTTAGCCTGGAGGAGCCTCCTACTGTTGTTACATGCCACGTGTTTCACCTGGCATTGAGAGACACCTGAGTGTGTTCTGCATGCTCCTGTTTGGCTGTGTGACTTCTCCCAGATATAAGGTGATGCACAGAGGTGTCTCATCTGGCACTCTATAGAGGGAGTGGAAGCTGGTGTAATCTACTTAGACACACACGTGGCTAAATTCAGGTGTGCCCTCTCACCAAAGTTACTGGTTATGTCAATATAGATCCATATGGCAAGTCCAAATGCATCATATATGGTCTTCCTGAGCTCTTGCCTTGCAGTGCAGACCTCAAAGTCAAGCAGAGGCTAAGTGAGTGTGGCTTGTATACTATTGGCCACAGGAAAGGAGCATAGCAAGAAAAGCAAATAAAAAGAGTGAATCCTCCCTACATTAAGTTAATATTATTGCAATGTATTTTGGCTCTTCTGCCTGTGAGGTACACCCACAAGGACTCCCTGACACTTCCAACAAGTGGGTGTAAGTAGCTCCAGGGGAATATTAAATTATAACTCTTCAGCTCTGAATTTGGCCCCAAAAGTACAGAAAAAAATCCAACTTTGAAAATCAGGGAACGTCATGATTGCAATTGTATTTTGCTCACTGTATAGAACACATCTGTAATTTATGTAAATTAGTTTTTATGGAGAGTGTCGAACCTTTCAAGTTTTGCTTGTGAGGGTACAATGACAATAGAAGATATCCACTCTAGTAATGCTTTTTAGTCATATTTACTAGGTTTGCATTGGTCCCTTTTGTATTGCTTCTGAGATTATACTGTCTACAGTTGCTTCCAATGCAGTATTTCTGTCTTCTTTCCAGTAGATTACAGGGCATTAGATATCCACTGAAAATATTATGAAAGGTTTGGAGAGATACTACGTCTTTTTCATTTTGTAAGATTTCACAAATACCACATACAAATAGTTGTGGTCAAAGAACGTTACTGACGTGGTGAAATTGAGCACTCACAAATAAGCAAATGCGAAGAGAAAGATTTCCTATGGGACCGTAACTTACTTGCATATGTTTGGAGTTATTGACAAGACATACTTATTCCTACTGATAAAAAGTATTGATATGGATGATAGTTTATAACAGTGTATTAATTTTTCTCCAGTAACTCTATTTATTCAGTACAGAGAAGGGATTAAAATAATTTAGTGAGCACCCTTTCAATATTTTATCTACTTTTCATTGTTCCTCTAGGTCCCATTCACTGCAACATTCATGCTCTGCTCTGAAAATAAAATTATGGATTTTCTCTATGCCTGTCATCAGGGTAGCATTTATGTGCTTCATGAAAGTTAATTAAACTTTGCAAGCGATAAGGAATATTATTACCTCCATTTTATAGGACTGAGGCACAGTAAGATTCAAGTTAAAAGCTATCCTCTCATAAGAAGTGAGTAACTTGAAGTGCTGTGATTTCTCAGGGTACCCAGTGTTACAGTCAGTGTTTACACTATACACCCAAGGGTATCTTCCACTTTCCCTTTTGCAAGCCTAGCTAGAATCTTAGTCACAGCCTCAAAAGACTCAGCTACTCCTGATTCTGCCTTTGCCCTTCTTCTCCCTCCTCTGTATGAAAGCTGCAAAGAGCAATCCTGGCATACTCTGAGCTGAATCCTGCATGTGGATGATGGAGAGATCAGGACATTAGGTGTGATGCTGATAGCATAAACCCAGTGATCCAGCTACAGCCATACACAGTATTTTACACGCCTGAAGTCTAGACCCCATTGACTTCCACGGCAGGCATGAGTACCCAGCCCTCCTGCAAATGATAGGGCTTCTATCAGGACTGTTGAGGTAGTCATTGGTAGTGGTAAACTAGGATGAGCTCAGTACTGGTGAGCTGCTGGGGTGGGTTGAGGCCAGCCAGTGGCAGCTCAGCCCTCACCCAGTTGCTCCCTCACTTTCCCCCAGACGGACGGGGGAGAGAATTGGAAGCACAAAAGTGATAAAAACTCATGGATCAAGATGAAGGCAGCTTAATAAGTGAGTGGGGGGTGGAAGTAATCCCAAATTGCAAAAGCAATAACTCATCAACTCCCACCAGCAGACCAATGCCCAGCCAGCCTCCAAGCAGCAGCTACTTTGGAAAAAGAATCTCTGTTTTATTGCTGAGCATGATGTATATAGTATGGATTATCTCTCTGGCCACTTCAGGCCAGCTGTCCCCTCCCAACCTCTTGCTTCCTCCCAGCCTACTCACTGGAGCAGAACAGTTAGAGAAGGCCTTGATGGTATGGAAGAACTGCTCAGCAACAGCGAAAACATTGGTGTGTTATCAACACTGTTTTGGTCATAAATCTAAACCATGGCACTGTGTAGGCTGCTGTGAAGAAAATGAATGCCACCCCACGCAGACCCAGAGCAGTTACTCATGACACATAGGCATTGCTTGCCAGAATCAGTCTTGTTCTCTAGCACTGAAGCCACCAGCTTTGAAAATGAGAATTTCTTTTTTCCTTGCCTTTTCTCTGACTTTTGCAAGAAGTGAAGCAGAACTCTTAAAAGACTTAAAGTTTTCTTCACTACACTGTGGTTGGCATCTTGTTTTTATGCTGGTCAGATTTATACTGGGAAAGAGAAAAGGCCATTCCAGGCGCAAAGATCATCTACCCACCAAATTTTAGGACTGTGCTCCCAAGCCTGGGAAATGAGAGTTTTCAAAAGAAAGCGTCTATAAATTTTTGACGTAGACAACAATATATACATTTTCCCTTAGGTTGTTTCTTGGAAATGACTGAGAATTTTCCAAAAAAACCCTAAAAAATATCAAAAGAAGTCCAAACAAAATCAGCCAGAGGCATACAGCCAGCAGGAGAAATTACAGCTAGAATGACTGAACTTTGGCAAAGCTACAAGGTCCTTATAATGGAAAGTATTGGGTAACTTTAGTGAAGGCCAGAACCAGTTGAGGAATGAAGAAAGAATGACCATGGTGGCCAGTGATTTTAATCTTCCATCTATCATGCAACCCTGTAAAGGGAAGATATAACTCAAAATGCATTATGGAGAGGACACAAGGGAACATGCTGATTTTGGCCTTTTTTATGTCACCCCAGGCTGTCAGGTCTTCTAGAAGCCCTACAAAGCTTTCTCTGCCAATAGAGAAGTAACTTTTCTCTACTTGAGAAATTTATGAAAAATATGTGCATTCATAATTTTCTGAGATCCATGTACAATTACCTACAAACTTACCTTTAAGCAATGAGTTACAGGCTTCAGCTCGTGCTTTCAGGCTCAGCATTAGCCACCCAGACCTCCCAAGGCAGAACAGAGACCATCAGTTTCCCTACTTGGAATATGACTGCTCAGCATGCAGCTGGCTTGCAGAGCCTTTTGTAAAAGTTATTCCAGGCATTTCGGTTTAAATTCAACCACCAAGCACTGTTACTAGCCTGTTTTAATGCAGGTGCTACACAGTGTTGGGATTGAGAGAACTCCCTCGTGCTCTGGCAACAGCACATCTGCTCACTGCTAACAGAGCGCAGCGAGGCTGCCAGCTCTCTGCCTCCCAGAGAGGCAAAAGCACAGAGAGCAGGAGCAAAGCTTCGTGTTACTCACTGCCTCTGTTGTTACTGCAGGGACAGTTGGGAATGGAGAGGGAAGAATTCTGCTATACATTTATAAAACAACACTTTGAAGTGCAGAGTCTTCATGCTGTCATTTTCAATATTGTTTTCTTCATGGCAAGAGACCTGATGACGGAGCAATTTGCGGTCAAAAACTCAAAATCAGCATGAACTGCAGAACAAGTAAATGAACACCTGTTCATTCAAACTTTTCCCTTATGATCTGGAGATCTCTGGGGTTTCTCTGGCAATGGAGAACTGCTAAAGCAGGGAGGAGTGTGAAGCACAGAGCACCAGCAAACACCATGTTCAGCCCATGTGCCACATGCAGTGCAAGCAAGAAACATTTCCCAAGGGAAGGAAAACAAGACAAGGCACCAGAGGCACCACCTGACCACTGTTACTGGGATTGTTTGAAGGTTTAGGTATGGAAGGGTTTGGTTGTTCAGTTGCCATTTAATTTTCTAGTTTCAGAGCATTACTATTTTTGCATTGCATTATTCTTTAGAAAGTATACTTTAAAATTGGCAACAGGCAGCTGGCCTGCTTTTAATGTTCTTGACCTCATCTTCAGGTCCAGCCATTTCATCACAATGCACTGAGTTTGGTCATGATTTACCATTCTGGTGATCCCAGTCACCACCTTCTGCTTCATCTGCCCAGAAGCCAATGAAACTTGCTCAAGGATTTTCCTGGAGAACAAAATGAAGTTTACTGGCCTGTAAGTTTCCTAGGTTTTACTTCTTGCCCTTTCTGAAGGTGGGTGCAACGGTTGTCTTTCTCTAGTCACCCGTAAGCCCCCTTTCCCCCTTTCAGAGATGATAGAGATGACTTTCAGTGACATATTACAATGAAGTAAACCAGGTCTTTTGGGACCCTTGGACAAACCCTATCTAGCTGCATGGACTTGTATACATCACGGTTTCCCAAGAAACCACCGAATCAATTCTTTGCCCTTTTTTGAGTTTCTCTTTTCCCTGACCATTGCTTCTAGACACCCAGGTCTGAGAGACCTTATTGGTGAATACCAAGGCAAAGAAGTCATTGCTCAGCCTTGTATTCGCTGGTACTGCTGCATTCAGCAGTGGGTCCAGCTTGAAGACTGTGAAGTGTTCCTGGTAGTGATTTTCTCTCCATTGACCTTACCAGACAAGCCCTGCTGCAGATGTGGCTGGTTAATGTACATTAAATGTGGAGTGTTTGTGGCAATACAGCAAGGATGATTTGAGACTGTTTGCCTTGGCCAAGCTCATAGAAGCAATAGTGTATGTTGTAGTAAAGGCAGGACATCCAAGTGAATCTGCTATGGAGCTGTGTATACTTTGTTTACCCCTGCAAGCCTTCTCGACCTAGCCAAGGAGCTTAGATTTATGTTATTGTATTTTGGTTTACATAGTGATAGTATTTGTGTTTGCAGTTAAAGAAAACTGAAACACATAAGCCATTTTTATGTCATGTTGGCTCAGATGTTGCTTCTTTCACAGAAATAAAACACAGAATACAGAATTTTGTTGGTGGTTGATGTAGCCCCTTGGTCTCACAGGAAAAGGGAGGGAAAAGTTTTGAGTCATTCAGCAATAACCATAGGGAAATATAGCAGCATCCACATTCATTTCAAGAGAGGAATTTGAGGTTTGGATGATATAAAAGAGGAATTACTGAGGGGGAAAGGACTTCCCAGGCTCTGAGGATAGAAGGACCTTCCAAAGTGTAGATGGATTTTATCGTTCCTATAATTCTTCTAACTCTGTGTTTCTCATTTTATGAGTGTGAGCTGTCTCTGCTTCCCTGCCCCTTCCCGTTGGGCTCATTCATCTTTGTGGAACCCTGATTCAGCAGCAGCTTGGTTCCTGCAGGGATGAGGGTGAGAACTGGCTGTATTTGCTGGCTACAGGAACAAACATTACCTTGCCTTAGAGGAACTGTGCTGCTGCCAGAAATCAGAGTCAGCAAGCAGAGCCTTGGCCGTAACTGCAGTCACCTCTCATTTCCCCCTCCTGCAGGGACTTAGCTCTTTCAAACTTAACAGCGCTTTCAAGTAACTCTTCATGATGCCTCAGACATTTTTGCAGCCTTGTGGTGAAGGAAAGAGATATGGAAGTGCAATCTCAAAATTCAGAAAAGGTGTTCAACATCCTTCAGAAGTAACAGTCATGATGAACTGAAGGGGACATTCATGCTATCCTTTTTAGCTGTACAGTTGGGTGCTCATCGGGGCTTGCATATGCACCCACTTCCTTAATGTTTAGCTCCAAGCTTTAAAAAAGAAAATAATTACAGTAAACCCCACTTTCCCATTCATTCAAAATGAGTATATTGTTATTGTGTTGGAGGTTTTCATTTGGGTGAGGAGAGTTATACCTTTAGAAAGATGGCAGAGCACTAACATCATCTTGGACCTACTGGAGTCAGTTACAGCCCAACTTCCACTAAGTGCAATGCAGTTGCTGTGCATACTAGGTATCTGTGAGGAACAGTTGGAGCTAAGCTAAATCACAATCATGAGTTTTACACAAGTTATTTGGAAAAACATGGAGTATGTAACACTCCTTATGTCTTTTCAGAATAGATTCCAGTCCCAAGTCAACTTTAAAGGCATGAAACATGAAAATCCTCACTGCACTGATACCAAGTTCATTGCATAGTCCTGTGTACATGATGTGGCCATGATCAAACATTTATCCAGCTACAAGCAGACTGCTCCTGTAAGTCCTTCATTGTCTGCATTTTGGAGCTTCTTTGCTGATGTTGGTAGTTGCCCCAGAAACACAACCGATGTAGGAGGTGATACTGCGGGAGATGAATTCATTCAGTGACATAACTATGTGGGCATCTGATCATGAGGCAAGAAATTCTGAAATGGATTTCTTTTATGGTGGAGTCGAAGTGTGAAGAATGCAGCACTGAGATACGACCTCTGCTAACCAAGTAGGCTGCAACATTTTATATCACTGGAAGGCTTTTTTCAGGGTGGTGTCAGTTCTCATAATGGGTTGCTCTTATCAAAAGGTGACTCTGAATCTAAAGAGTTTTATGAAAACAAGACCGCAAATAGTAAATGCAAAGAATGAATGTGAAAGCTTCTTTCACAACCTCTATGTGTCCAGGTGAACCCAACTGAGTGGATTGTTTTGTGACATCTTAAATTTTACATCAAAGTCCCTGTTCTTGCTAGTTTCATGGCAACTTTATGCTGGTCATGCAGAACATCCTTACAACTGATATATTCAGGCATATTCACTCAGTTGTAGACCCTGGTGTTACTGAATCAGATGAATGACTTCAGAGCTATCCTCTCCTGCTGCTGTTGTATTGGAATCTCTCCTGATAGGCTACTGTATTGTATTTCTCCTGATAGGCTGTGACTGTGGCTTTTCTGGTAACTGAACAACTTTAACCATTCTATAACCTTTTAGCAGATGGTGTCCAATGGCATTTACACCCAGCCAGGACAGAAGAGCAGCCAGTGCGGAGCCTGGGAGCTCACAGATCACAGGTGAAGAGCCTCGTTCATGGTCCAATGCACTAAGCCTTCTGCAGGAATTAATTGGTCATGCAGGCAATACTCTTGTTAATGTTTTTCTTGGCAGGACTGAACATAAATGGTTTGTATATAATTACACGGTTTTACTTTGACTTGTGCTTCCCAATTATGCTGATGGGCAGCATTTTTGGCTATTAAGAAACCTATATATAATCTTATACTGTACATGGTGATGAAATATGAATTGATATTGGAACAATGACTGAATTCCTTCACGGTTTATTAACAGCATTCGGAATTTAAACAGTTTTAATTAAATGCTTGTGCAGACTCATGCTGTTTTATAACCATGTGGTCCTTTTTGAAAAGAGGAATTTTCTTCTAACCTGTTTGCGTAAATACCAGTTCTGATCAAAACATGGAATTTACATGTTCAGGAAATTTTGCCATTGAAAATTTGTTTTCATTCTCAATCAAAAGACAAATAACATTTGAATCTATTTCCCCTACACCCCCTGGTAGAGAAATTTTAAAAATACTGTCTATTTAGAAAATTGTAAATTTTATCTTGGAGTTTGAAATTTTGTCATAAAATTTTTAACTGTTTGCTGTGTTTTCTGGTTTTACATTTTTATATTTGTATTATTTATGCTGGTTTTAGTATTCTGAAATCAGTTTATTACTTCAGCAGGACTATATTTCATTGTACTATTTTAAAAAATCATTACATTTGGCTTTTATTTACTACTCATTGGAACATTTTATCTTCTCGGTATAACTGTCCCCTGTTTCTGCTGGGTTGAATCCATTTACCAGAGTGTTCAGTTCCAATACAAACAGGAAAGACTTGGATGGGAGTGACATACCAGTTCTTTGCAAAAAACCACTGTGATCAAGGAAATAGGTTTCATTCAGTGATAGAAAGAAGCACACAGTAATGATTTCAAGAGATAGTGCCACCCAGTAAGAGAATAAAATATTTCAGCTATGGTGCTAGTTTGTATTACATTATGCTGTCATGTGCCAGCTGCAGTAGTGCATGACATGCCATAAGCTATAGAAATTATTTCAAAATTAATGCAAGAGGAACGTAATTTTGGAATGCCAAAATAAATTTTCATATTGTGTGATGAATTTTAATTTCTCGAAATAGTCAACATTTGTGCTGGAAGCCTTTGGGGTTGGAGTTTGTTTGTATCAATGACTACATATATACATATACAATGTATATTTTAAGATGTTTCAGGATTGATGAAAAGAGAGCTACTCCACTGGAAAATACTCTGATGGAAAGACAGTGTTTTAGGCGCTATTCTAAGACAGGATGTCAGTTTATTAAAACCTATGTGTGAAGAAAACGCATTTCAAGGACATGCCTACACATGGATGTAGATGTTGCTGCTTGTTCCCTGAGTGGCAGACTGAGTTGCCATTAAAGTAAATCGAAAAGATTCTATTTATTTTTCATCTCTTATAGGAGCAGGTATTATTTTTAGTTCTTTTAAAGACATGATATCTGCTTGAACTTCAAATGCTCTTTCAAGATTCTCTTTCCACAGCAGTTTTATTACTTTTGCCTTTCTGATGGTGCTAGATCCTTTACGCAGCACCTTTGCAGTCATCCTTCTCTTTAAACTTTCACATTCAACAGCTCGGAAGACCAGAAGCCATCACTTAAATCTTGGCCCTTCTGAAGTCAGTGGGCTATCTGCCACTGGCTTCAGGAGAGCCAGGATTTCACTGCATGTCGAGAGGATTACCTTTTTGTATTATCTTGGCAGAAAGAAAAGCCGTGCAAATCCAATACAGTTAAACAAACATATGATGGGTTTGGATGTGTAACTCCTCTTTGTATGCGCATTAGAGGCTGGAACCTGCCTGTGCTCACTGCAAGCAGACAGCAGAGTGATTGCTGATTCGTAATAACACACAAAGTTGCTTGAAAGCCAGAATTTTCCATACATCTGTAGGAAATAATGTTGCATAGATCAAGGCAAAGCAATATAGAGGGGAAGGTGTGTTTATTTGAAAAACCAAACAAATTTCACTCATACTCACACTCTTGTGCCCATACTCTGATCCTGACAATCATATTCAATCATGAGTTGTATATAATCCAAATGAATGCATTCCGGCACCCAGATGTGAGTTCCCGGATGGTCTGGTTGGGGTTCCTTGGCAGGAATGGGGTTGGGGTTCCTTGGCAGGGTTGGGGTTCTTTGGCAGGCCACCTATGAAGTCCTCCCCACATCTCCTGGGATTTTTTCTTAGGCTGGTCCATTCCTCCTAGTCCTAATGCTTCTACTGCAGTTCTCTACACATTGATGCAAAATTCAACAGACTTTCTTTTGCAAATTTTGCAACAAGATCTATACAAATCTGGGCTACTTGTGAACAAATACAGCCCCTCTTCACTTATTTGACTTTGAAAGTGGCTCTGTTCTGATACTAAGATTAAATTTCCCTCTCAAAAAAAAATCCATCTTATAATGAGTAGTTTGTCAAGACTGCAAAACTTCACTGAATAATTCCTATGTTTATATATATTTTTTGTATTACATCATATTGGGAGGCCTCAACAAGACATATTTTTGTAAGTTTTTGCTAAAAAAAATCATCTTTTTCAGCTTAACTTCTTGGCTATGTGATTAAGAGACACTCATTTGATGGGGCCCCCTGGTGCTAAGCCCTCAAAGATGAGTAAAAAAGACAGTACTTTGTGTCAAAATGTAAACATCGCATACTCTTAGAAAAAAATCTCAGATAAAGGAACTACATAGTAAAGAGGTAACTTAAATTTATTGCCTAATGGTTAGTGTAGGTTTTGCCTTTTGTAATTGCTGCATGTGAAGAACTCTGTGAAGTTTACCAAATTAAAAACAAAACAGACAACTTTCTATTGCAGGAATGAATGAAAGCTTTAAAATGAAATGCAAGAACAACCTTCCACCCACAAAACCCAGTCCAAAAGTAAGATTTTGATTTATTTTATCCTAGACATATTTTTGTCATTAAGCTTTGTAGCTTATTCTAAGCTTTTGCTGCACTGTTATGCATGTTAAGCCACTGATTCCCACATGGTGAGCTAATGGCAAAGAAAACACTTGTGTCACCACTATTGAGGAGAAGAGAAAGTCTCATGCAGAGGCACAGAAGGTTTCGATGCTCTCACAGATACATTAGCCTACATGGACATAACAGCAGATGGGATTTCTGGGTTCTTCTCTCCTGTCTTAGGACACCAGTCACAATGGTTGAAAGGAGGACAGAATTTAATGAAATCACAGTAAGGAAAAGCCAGCTAAGATATTTAATTATAGATAGCTGGGCAGAGTAAGCTGTGCATTTTTGGAATACATGAGTCAAAATTGCAGATGGTCACGGAAAAGAAGAAGCAAAGCTGTTGATAGTAACAGCAGAGTTGCATCAACTAAGCACGTGTGTGCGTGTGCATGCAGGCATCAGGATCCCCAACCATTCACACCCTTTGAGTGCTCAAATGATAATTTTCAGAAGTGTTTCTGTAAGTGGGTGCTATATATGAATTAGGAGTTGGCTATATAAACATTTCATTAATTAATGTATTTGACTTAAAGCTTGGCTGTCCTATGGACTTCCTCTTGCTCAGCTGTGTTAGTCCTGGTCCTGAAGGGGTGCAGAGAGCAAGACAGCTTCCCTGCAGAATCTCTTATGTATTTCCTGCTATCTGGCACCTGCAGTTTCCTCCAGAGGTGGAAGAGAAGGGATGGAGGGAGCAGCACAAGTCCTTGGACGTTGCCTGTCTCTTTAGCGCTCACAGGAGGGGCAATTCACACAGGCAGATACTAACTCTTGGAGGAGATTCCAAGAGGGATGCAATTCCCTCCAAACCAAAATACTGTTGCAGCTACAGAGATGCCTGTCTTCACTTCCAAGCAGACCTTTGATTTCATCAAAGGTGGCCTACTTGCAGTGGAAGGCCAGAGTCATTCTGTGAAGTTCTGTTGTTCAGAAAGGGCCATACAAATAAGCACTCCCAAACTGACAGATTTATCCCCACAAACTCTGTGTATTTGTGATGTTGTTCTGTGAACTCCTTTTATTGTGTGAGCACGAAACTCCATTTATTGGTGAAAGCTGTGTCTTCATTAAAGGTGTTTGCCAGTGTTTATCAGTCTTCCTCACTGAAGTACCACCTTATGGGTTGGGGGGAGAAAAAAGTCAAATGATCAACTCACACAA